CCGACATCGCGAGAGCCCCACATTTCCCAGCCTGTGGATTTTGAGGGAGTGGGGCCCATACGGGCCCTGCACCGAAACCTGCACCTGAGCTTCCGAGTCTAAAGGGACATATCCCCCAGACGCCCCACTCAATTCACGAATGCTATGCCCGCTGCAGGAACGGTTCATGAACACGTCACCTTGAATTTCTCCCGGCTCAAGATTACGTAGGAATTCCAGGGCCACATATAGAAGCCAATTGCCCGTCAGACCCAGGTCGAGGAAGGACGTCTCCAGGTTGCGGAATGAACCCCTCAGTGAACGATAACTTTCTTAGTGTTCTCAGGATCGGCAGATGCAGCCACCCTGAGAGCGGAATCATCGATCAGTTCGGCACGCTGGGTGGCACAGGCGGGGCAGATCCAGAGCCGATGCCAGACATTATCGGGATGAAGGCCGCCCCATTGGTGCGGGACTTGATGCAACCTTTCTCGAATCCTGAATACTTTGATTACCTGAGCTGAGCTGAAACCACATGATAACACTCTCCCTCGGACATCGTGAATTCGACCTGCATCCTTCAATATCTGCTTGACAAGGCTGGGCGAGCACGTAGTGAGTATAATCCCCCCTGGAAGTCATTCACTAATTTCTAGAGCCCGCTCATGCTCCAGTCAATCATCTTGAGACTCATCCAAGCAGCCAGCAGGGGACCTCCGAACCACGTGGGATCTGATTCTAGTAACCGCAGAGACGTAAGCGAACGCATACCAGCACTGGGACGCAACACACGGCCGACCCTGCGAAGGGTGGAAGCAAGCTCGAAGTCAGACACACCGTGTATTTCAGATCCATGCAGTAGGCACGATAACGGGCCGCTCGTAAACACCTTCTCAGTATGCTTACCGAGGGCGGACTTACATCTTTTGAATCTCTGTGCGCGGAGCTCGTGCGCAGGCTCGCATGCTCGGTTCGGCTGCGCCTGGCGGTCGTCTTGACAGTGCCCACGGTCGCCGACAGCAGGCATGCTGGGTCCTCGGATTCCAGTGCAAGGGGCGGGCGGAGGCCCAGTCTACTCTCAGCGCCTTCCTACTTCCTGCTTGCATCCGCTTCTTCCGACCGATGGCAAGCGTTTTTCCCTACCTAGGCTCTGCCTAGAAGGGTTCTTCCTCTCTATCTTAAAGGGGCGGGGCAGTGGGCTTCGCCCTGGGCGGTTCCCCCAGGATCCGCCCCGTGGTTCCCCCAGTTACGTCCCCTTAGCTCAGCGTTGCTTATCTCATCTTAGCTTAGCTTATTTCATCGTAACTTAGCTTAGCTTCATCTTAGCTCAGGTTTATCTTTGCTTAGCTTACCTTCATCTTAGCTTCGCTGAGCTTTAGCATAGCAGAGCACAACATTGCATAGCATAGCGTAGCATAGCATAGCGCAGCACAGCATATCATAGCATAGCCCAGCATAGCATAACATAGCGCAGCATATCATAGCATATCATAGCGTAGCATAGCGCAGCACAGCACAGCACAGCATAGCACAGCGCAACATAGCACAGCACAGCACAGCATAGCACAGCGCAACATAGCCTAGCGTAGCATATCATAGCATAGCATAGCATAGTATAGCGCAGCATAGCATGGCATGGCATGGCATAACATAGCATAGCATAGCATAGCATAGCATAGCATAGCATAGCATAGCATAGCATAGCAACTAATGCTGCTTTCCTAGGGGCTTCAACTTCTAGGTAGGGTCGCACTGGGGTAATTGTTTGCCAGTGTCCACACTCTGGCGGCGTGTGCAGGGAGTGGCGTGAGGGGCACGAGACGACCTTCTAAGGAGGCAGTTGGACTGCTCAGAAGGCGGGCGGCTTCTCAGAGACCCTCCAGGCTTCCAAGAAGCCTTCACAGAAGCCGGGCCCTTCTGAGCAGGCCCCCGGACCACCAAGCCTTCTAGAAGGCCGCCCCGCTGGCGCCACCCGCTTGCGCGCCCCGCCGAACAAAGGTGGACACGCTGCTTTGCCAGTGTCTCGGCTCGACTGTCGTCGCTGGCTGCAACCCGCTAGGCGCGTCAGAGGAAAGAGTGCGCAGTCTCGGCCTTCCGCGGTGCTTCGTGTTCGGGAGGCATCTCCGCACCCCTCCTTTCTTCCTTCCTTCCTGGCGCCACTGTGGGCAGGCCTCCACGGGCGAGCAGGTGTCACATCGGCCACGATAGCAACGGCGTCCGCTCTGGCCACTGCCTCCTCTTTTGAGCGAAAAATGAAGGGGGGGCGGCTGCACAGGCCCCTCACGCTCTCCGACCACAGATCCCCGACCTACAGACACACAGCGGCCCAGAGAGAGCGGGGTGCTTGCAGACATCCTGCTGACCCCCCCAAAGCTGAGAGGAGTTCCTGACTGGAAGATGACATGTCCATGCCCACGGCCCCGAGGTCCGGACGTTTTGGCCGCGACCCCGCGGATGTCTCGTGCTGGACGTGTCCACGGGCTCGCGTACCCAGAAATTCGCGCCGCGGTGTGCAGACCGCGGTGGCATAGACGTGGACATCTGGTCGTCGCCCAGGATGCTTCGGGAGTCCGGCAGGCCGTGACGGGAAGCTGCGCATCTGGGACGTGGCCGCCGGGGCGCTGGTCCGAACGGTCGACGCGCACTCGGACCGCGTCAAGATCCTGCGGCCTGGCCCAGGGGGCTCGGATGGCTGGATCAGCGCGGGGCACCGGGCCGGACCGAAGCCTGATTGGGCAGCCTAGAGCGGGGGTCGAGTCCAGGGGGGTGCAGAGGGGCAATCCCCCCCCCCTCTCTCTTTTCCCCCTTCCCTCCCCGCCTTTGGAGGGTTTCTCCGAAGGGCTTAGTCGACCCGTCCTCCTCTCTCCTCCTCCTCTTCTTCCTCCTCCTCCTCCTCCTTTTCCTCCTCCTTTTCCTCCTCCTTTTCCTCCTCCTCCTCCTCCTCCTCCTCCTCCTCCCTCTCCTCCTCCTCCCCCTCCTCGGGTCGCCTACGGACCCGGGGGAAGCCGTCCACCCCCCTTCTCTTCTCCGCCTCATCCTCCTCACCCTCATCCGTTCTGGACTGCCGCGCCCAGGTGGTGTGACACTCCCCCGGCGGCTGCCCAGATCAGGCAGTTTCGCAGATGGCCAGTCTGATCCTGCTTTCACCCGCTGCCATTCTGCCTCGAGGCCTTCGGCAGGAGGCGGCAGCAGCCTGCCTCCCCGCGGGAGGTTTCTCGGCCCGGTCCGCAAGTGGAGAGGTTGAGCCTGCGGCGTGCCCTGGGGCATCGGCGATGGCCGTCGGCGCGGCCTCGAGGGCAAGGCCCTGTGGTTGGCGCCGCCCGACGAGTGCAGAGTATCCTGTGGGGGGCCGTGGCAGGACGCCGCTGTGCGGCGGGCAGACGTGGTTGCGCACGTCGAGGGAAGAAAGAGCGGCACGAGCACGAACAGCTCATCCTGGGACCGCCAGCAGAAAATAACCCCCCCCTCCTCGAGCGTTTGCACGAGTGAGCTGGAGTGGCAGCGAACCAGTATGAACAAAGACTGTCGGAGGCCCGTGCGGATTTCTTGAGTCGGCGTTGGGCCGCTCGTCTCAAGGCCACCCCGATGGGGTCCGAGTAGATGGGGTTGGTGGATCGCGCCGCATCGCCGATGATGCATCGGGGATGCAACTCGATGTGGAGCCAGACTTCCTCCGCGCCGGCGTCGCCGACGCATCGCCGACGTCGCCAATGCATCGTCGATGTATCGTCGATGTATCGGCGATGCGGCGCGATCTTCCGACCCCATCTATTCGGATCCCATTTGGGAGGCCTCTTATCTTCTGTCACATCCTCGATGTCGTGACGCGGTTGTTCAACTTCGACGCCGTGCCGTCGTTCGCGACGGCAGAGCGCGCTCTCCGCCATCGCGCGGCAGGGCGGTCGCACTGCTGCTCGGGGGTTTTTGGGCAAGCTGCGGAACTCGGGCGCACACACCGATGTGGGGCTCTGCGGCGACCTGGAGCAACTCGTGGAAGGTGAGGGCACTGGAGACCTTCGGGTTGTGAGTGCTCTCCGCTCTCCTCCTCGCCCCGCGGCCGCCCTCTGCCCTGTCTCTTTCTCTTGCCGCCGGACGAACAGTACGCTTCGCCCCAGCGACCGGAGCGCGCGAGCGGACTGCCTCTTGCCGCGCCGCGACGGGAAAAGGGCGCTGGCCGCTCCGCGTTGGGCGACGGGACGGGCTGCGCGGGTGCGGCTGGGCATCGCGAAGGCAGCGGCGGTGCCGAGTGCGGCACCTGCGCGGAGGAGGGCACTGATGGCGCGTGCAGGGGCTGCATCAGAAGGAGCGCTTCGCTACCAGGCCTCCGTCCGTCGGCTCGGCCCTGCACTTGCAAATAGGTCGGCGAGTCTGCGCGCGCCGTCGTTGGGCCTCGAGGGCACGCCGGCGAAGGCCAGCCCCGTGCCCAGGGCCGCTGGCGAGGAGGCCTTCGACTCAAGGGGTTCGGCAGCCGCAGCTCCTGCACGACGGCGAGGCCGACGCTGGGGCGGACTCCGCCGTGGGGTCCCGGGGCGCTTTCCGAGGTGGTGGGGCCCCAGCGGTGAGTGGCGCCCGAAGAGCTCGTGGCAGCCGAGCTGCGAGGGGTCATGGCGCCAACATCGAAGAGCGGATCTCGTTCGGAAAGCGATAGGCTGGGCCCGGAGTGTCCTGGAGAATTTCGTTCCAGATTTCGAGGTAAATTTCGTGCGGATTTTTTTAGCCAGGAGTGAAGACCAAAAATAATCCGCGAGCAATTCACTTCGTTTTTCACTCGCCGTTTCGTGGTTCTGCACTGGCAGAAATCCACGCAGAAATCCACTGCAGCACGTCTGCAAGGCCGGTGCAATGAGAAGGGTAGAAGGGTCGGCGACACAAGCCCCGCCGAGCCTGGTCGGGTTCTGGAGGACGCGTCGGACGAGGGTGGTCCCGCTGGGTGTGCGAGCGCACGTGGTGGACCTGTGCATGCTCCCACAGGATGCCTCTTCCATCCAGTGTTGGTTCGGGCTCCCACAGCGTCCAGTCGGAGTGACGACCAACAGGGCGAATGTGCGAACGTCACACAGATAACTCAGGGTTGTTCCATGATTTTTGGCCTCGTGGGCCAGCCCCCAGAGGGCTCCAGGACAGAGCAACAGGGCTCCCAAACGGCCCCAGGACGGTCTTCTCGGGCCATCAGAGGACAGGCAGGACGTGTGGACTCCTTGTCCGTGCTCCCGAAGCCTCGGGAGCCCCGAGAGCGCGCGAGAGTGCGCGGAAGCGCCTTAGAATTCAGGGAATCTGGGGTCGGGGGCCCTTACACAGAGTATTGTAGGTATCCAAAGCTGAGGACTCCACGAAACGACTCGAGGATGCCATTCAGTGCCTCGCGGCAAGGTGGCGGATCCCTCAATCACCTACTTGTTCTCTGGGGGGCTCCCGCTGTGTTGGCGCCCCCCCTATGCTGCGTGAGTCGGTCTCAGGCGCGGGGCCCGTGCCCCGCCTCGCTCTGGGGGGGGGAGGGGGCGAGGGGGGCCTACAGTTCCCGGCCGCGCCCTTCGTGCGCGCCTGGCATGCCGGGCGACCCCCGACTTCTCTCGAGCTGCGCTTGGACGAGCGGTGCAGCTGGCACCTGGGGTAGAAACCAACCCCAGCTTCGGAGGGGCACTGCTCTGGCACCGCTCTTTGCGCCTGGGCTCCCCACCCTGGGACACTTTTCCGTTCGGGGCATCTCCACGGGGCTCGGGCCTTCGGCGATGGGGCTCGTGTCCTTGACCCGCGTTCTCATGGCCATATTTCCCACTGTACCTCCCCTGCGCAGGCCAGCCTCTCCCTCCGCCCAGTCTCCGCGCTGCGCGGGCGGTCGCTCGGGGCTGTGCGCCCGATCACTCTTTGCATCTGTGCTCCTGTGCTACAGCGCTGCCGCCATGCCGCCTCCCTGCTGCCGTTCCTCCCGCCTTTGTCCTTCCTCCTCTCCCTCGTCCCTCCTCCCTCCTTGCCCCTACATTCGTAGAGGGAAACCCTTCCTCCCGCCTTGGCCTCTGTCTTCTCCCTCGTCCCTCCTTCCCTTTATATTCGAAGAGGAATAATCAGCATCCTCGAGAACTTTCGGAGGTCCGCTCGGATTTCTTGGGGACCGGCGCTGGAAAACCCCTTGGCGGCGCTTCCGCCGCCGCACTCGGCGCGCACCGCGTGCCAGGGAGGGGGGTCCAGCGCTGATCCACAGACTTCGCGCGGACCTCCGAAATTGACCCATGCCAAGAAACACCCTACTTGCCTCCAGGGTGCCCTGGGTATCTTAGGTTTCGATGGTCTTGCTGTGGACAGCGCGACGCTCCCACACCAAAAACCAATGGACGCCCTGGGGTCTCGGTGTTGTTATTTTTTGTGGAAGGTCATTGTATCTTAGATTATCGGTTCGAGCCGTGGGCTGATCATGAGCTGGCCTTGGGCAAGGCTGTCATGTCTAGTCGCGGCTTGCGTAGCTGGATACAACAGCTCCCATCGTCGAAGCGGCGTCCAAGCCGTGATTTTGGACTACGAAGCGCCAGTCGGGCATTCTTTTTGGGCCATTTGGCCGTTTGTTTATGCACCTGCCCTTCTGGGGCGCCGAAGGGACGGAAGGCACGTCCTTTCCCTCTCCAGAAGGGACGTCCTTTCCCTCGCCCTCCCCGCTTGCCCCGGTGGTCGCGCTCTGGCTCCCAACTGGGCGTTGCGTAATGGGGGAGCGATAAAACGGGGGCAGCGAGGGCTGCAGAACAGGGGGCCCTCTCGGATCCCTAAAGGTGCCCTTTAGGACCCAAACGGGAGGGCCCGAGAAATGCACCGCACTTCCGCCCCATCTATCGCCCCCCCCCCATTTAGCGACGCCCAGCCCAAGACAGCCCAGCGCGGCCTCGCAGCGGTCTCGATCTCTTCTCGGGGACCGCTCTTGCAACCCGAGTCGCTCTTGACCGTCCCTGGGCCAGGGAAGCGCCCCCCGAGGCCGAAGACTGCCAAAACCTTGCGCCGTGCTTCTTCCGCAGCGAGGGGAGGACGCGAAGTTGTTCGCGCTTCGCGCTTCGGCTCCGATCCCTCCTCACCCCTCTCCTCTCCCCTGGGGTGCGGCGCGAGAGCGAGCGCGAAGCGCGAAGTCAGGCGCCCTAAGCTCTGGATGCCCCCCACGGGGCCGCCTGTGGCCTCCCCATCGGCCAAGGTACGACGGCCACGTGCGCCTGTGGGACCTCCGAGCGGCGAGCGCCGAGGGCGGCAGCGTCGGCAGCGGGTGCGTGATGGACTTCGACCACGGTCACGCGGTCGAGTCCGGCGCCGTGTTCCCTGGGGGCGCGCGGCTGGCTGGACGAGCCCTTCGTTCGAGGTTTTCGGGCGCGTTCGTCGTTTCGGCGGTGTTCCAGCCTCGGGGTGCTCTCCGGGAGCTGCGCCTCGCCGATCGCGTTCCGTTGGTGCCCGACTCGTCCCGAACGGCCGCCGGAGGGAAATCGATGCGGCCAGCCTGTCGGCAGCCTCGGGGCCGTAAGAAATCGGCTCGGAATGACAAGCCAGCATAGA